ATACCTAACAATAAATACATCCAATCTATCAAAATAAAATATATTTTTTAAATATTTTTTTTAAAATACATACTTTGTTAAGCTTATTGTTCTGTTTATTTATTGTTATTCTGTGTATATATACACGGCCAGTAAAAGTGATTCTGATTCGGATACATCAGCTCATTAAACGCGTGCTTTTGTTTTGAAAAGAAAAACGATACCGGAAGACTTTCGATATCTATCAAAATAAGATACATCACTTGAGTTAAAAACGTGCTTTTGTTTTGTAACGACTGGCCGGAAGAAACCTGAGCTAAAAGCTAAAAGCTAAAAGCTGTCCTCGGTTGAATCGAGCTGCTCTGCTGTTAAAAGTATAACGTTTCTAAAAGTGTAGACGTGTGTCGTGTTGGTGAAGAGTTGCTCTTTCACACAGACTCACTTCTCCGGGTCAGCTTTGGTAAGAAGTCTTTCTTCAAACTGTTTTATTTGGGAGGTCTTTTTAAAAAAAAAACAAAAAAACAAGTGAGCTCGCAGCTAGCCCCCAAACATTACAAGTGTCTTCAGGTCTGAGTGGAAGTGATGGCTCCTCCGACAGATTCACCTTTATGGAAGAGAGTCTGGTTGGTTGTGTGACCCGGAGTTAACTCTTATTCTCAGTCTGCTGTGCTGTTTGTTTTCAGAGCCCTGTGTGTCCTCTGGCTGTGCTCCTCAGTCTCTGTGGGTGTGGGTGATACTGGCTCCGTGCCAGTCCTCTGTAGATGAAGATGTCTCTGGCCCAGCGAGTCCTCCTCTCCTGGATCTTCGCCCTGATCTTCCTCATCATGCTGGTCCTCAAGCTGGACTCTAAGATCCACTGGAACTGGTTCCTCATCTTCCTCCCCGTCTGGACCTTTGACACAATCCTCATCCTCATGCTGATAGTGAAGATGGCAGGACGCTGCAAGCCGGACTTTGACCCCAGAGATGGCGAGCAGAGCCTGAAGAGGAGGTTGTGGTACCTGACAGCCCTGCTGCTGAAGCTGGCCTTCTGCCTGACACTGTGCTCCCACCTGGAGAGGCTCATCGACATGTGGGTCAGCGTGGTGTGTGTCCCCCTGTGGGTGCTGCTGGGTGGGGCGCTGGTGGAGCTGGGACACAGTGTTTTCCACTACAGGAGGGACTGAACCACAGGACTCCACAATACATGGATTTGAAATGTAATATAGGGGAGGAAAACTCTTTTTTGTTTTTTACACTCTCGCTCGGGATGCAGGTTGGATCGGGTGTCGGTTCATTGTCACTGTAAAAGTCACTGTGTCTGCTTTATGTTACATTGAAGTCACAGCAGGTTGTGGAGTCACTGACAGGGTTGGGGTCCCAGTGAGTCCTGTAGGTGTGCTTTTACATGGTTTTTAAATATGAGGGAAGAATCAGAATCTGATGTGTATCTGAAGGAACATCGACCTACAGTAACTGTGTGTCATCTTTTGGATCAAAGGTCAAAAGGATGATTTTACAGTCCACAGTTCTGCATCTTTAGCCTTCACATTGTTTTGGCATTCACATTACTGCCTTCTGGCTCATCTTTAGGCTGCAGGGATTAATGAGATGGTGATAAGATTTATACTTTGTAAAAGCTCAGATATACTGTATACTTCCAGGTGAGACTTGGTTTTACAAACTAATGTACGCGTGATCTACCATCCAAAATCAGTTACCTGCTACACTACAATTCACCTTTTCCACGTGCTACGGAGAGATCACACACAAATGCAGTACTGTACTAAAGCGGGATCCTCGTTACACTGAAATGATCCAGCCTGCACTGTGTGTGCCACTGAGCCATATTATACATGTTTGTGAAATCACTGTTAAACGTATATTATCTGAGCATTTCTGCGGAGTGGTTAGAAACCTCACAGCTTCCACATCTGTCCGTACGGATGCCAGGCTGTCTCCTCCTCTTCCTCTAACAATATGGATTTAAAATATGTCCTTTTGCAGCGTGCAGTGCAGCTCAGAGTAGCAGGACCTTTTTGAGAGATATGGGAGGTATTTTAACACCAATCGTCATTGCAATCAATCACATAGTTTTCAGTGTCGGACCAGCATCTTCATCCTTGGACCCAAGCCGCTTACGTAGCTAAAAAAATGCCAATAAATTGAGACCTTAATGATATGAAATGCAGGAGAGACATTAATGGTAAGTCAATATTTTTGAACCATTTATTGAGAGGTTCTGATCAGAGTATAAATCACACTACCAAGTCTTATCTTAGGAAATAAAATGTATTTACAACAAAATTTTTCACATACATTGGTTTCAAATAAAAACAGACAGTAAATGATATAAATAAGTTCTATGGAAAATAAAACTTGTCTTACAAAAAATATATGCAATTTCTGTATACATTTTCTCACATTGGTGCTAATAACATCTATACTGTACAGTTTTGGTACATACAGTATCATTTACAGCCCTGTGTGAGTCAAACAACGTCCAGTCTGAAAACTACTTGCTCCGATTTTGGAGTGTTATAAACAACGAACCCCATCGACTAAAGCAACATGGCAAAAGAGGGTTTCAGCGAGAAAGAGCTCGGTGACTTGCCAAAGTGTCCCAAACAGTGAACGTAGTAATTCCTATAGCAGGGAGTAAGGATGGTCGTTTTCAGATCGGCTAGTCCAGTACCTAAAATAGGTGCTTTAAGAGCGAAGCTAAGTAGTGCACAGGCACTGACACATGGGTCACATAACATTTTATATAGAGCCTACATACATTCGCTAACAAACGTGAAGTGAGCTACTTAGCTTACATTCTTAGGCGCTGATAAAATACTTGGAGAGTGCATCCTCTTTTCACCACGCCGCTGGAGTTACTGCGGCTGTGGAACGCAACCAACTCACATATTACAAATTAGAAAACACCAGCTGATGTCTGAAGGAAGGATGCATTTTCAAATACTTCAACAAAGCCTCGGCGTAAGTTGTACAGTAAAAAAAAAAAAGAAAGAAAAGAAGACTAGACATTCATATTAAGAAGTCTTTCTGTGTTTGGGGTGTGTGTGTTTTCAGGGGCTGTTTTAACGAGTGCTGCTGTGGCCGAGTGTCCTGTAGGGGCGTGGCAGGTTTTCCCTGCACCGTGTCCTTTACTTTTGGTCCTTTAGAGGGCACAACTGTCCGACTGTCAGATCCAGGCTTAGAGGAAGAGCCTCGAGAGTCACTGTGATGGTGGGTCTTAGGCCTGCTCTCCGTGAAGGAAAGGGCCAGAGTTTGGTGAGCCTCCATCGGCTTAAAGAGGTCAAAGGTGATGAGCGTCCGTGGTTGTTTGTGTTCTGGCGGCGCAGGAGCAGAGGCAGACTTCTTCCTCTCCTCCTTACTGCTGATGTCTTTGTCCTTCTTTCCTTCTTTCTTTACCTGAATGTTCACAGGTTTGGGAATTCCTGTCTTCCCGTCCTCTCGCCCAGACTTTGCCTGCACTCCCAGCTGCGTGCTCGCCGCGCTGCCCTCCTTGTGCCCGCTCTTCTCCTTCTTCCCGTGTGAAGACTTGTGTTTATGAGAACTGGCGTCTCGAGCCTCCTCTCTGTCTGGCCTTAAGTGAGACGCTCCTTGTGTGCCTCCCCTGTCTTTATCGTGCTCCTTCTCCCTCTTGAGGTGGGGATGTGTCTTTGAGTCCCACTCCTTGGCCCACTTCTCGTCTCTCTGTGCAGGAAGGGATGTTTGAGAGGCTTTACTGCCCTCTCTTGTCCGCTCCTCGTCCTCCTTTTTCCTCATCTGTGGCGGCGGCTGCGTCGATGTACTCCCCTCTCGTCCTCCCTCGGCCTTAACTTTCTCCTGCTCCCGCACCCTGTCCTTCTCTCTATCCCTGTCTTTCCCCTTATCTTTTTTATCCTTTTCCTTCTCTTTACTCCTATCCTTGTCCTTTTTCTCCTTCTCTTTAACCCTCTCCTTTTCATCTCTCTCTCTTTTTCCTTTATCTTTTTCTTTTTTGATTTGCGGTGTGTTGTAAGTGCTCGTTATACTATCTTTAGTTTTCTCTTTTAGACCTTGACCTGGTACCGTTGTCTTTTGCTGCCTCTCTTCCTCCACATCATTCTCCTTCCTAATCTGCTGTAGTGACTTTAAGGATGCGCTGTCCGCTCCACCCTCCTCATGGCCCTTCTGCAGTGTCCGGCATGCGCCTGCATCTTCCTCCACCCCTCCTGCTTTACCCTCCTCTTTCTCATTTTCCTCAGCTTTAGGCTCTATTAGTGTGTGAGTGTGTACACCTTCATCTCTCTCCCTCTTGACAAAAGGTAGAGACTGTGTCGTTGACAACTCCTTCATCTCGGCCCTCTTCTCTTGCTCTTCATCCTTGAAAATCTGTGTCGGAGTTTGTGGAAGCAGCCCCTCCCTTTCCTCAGCCTCATCCTCCAGCTTCATCGCTATCTGTAGAGCAGGGTCACACTCCTTCCCCTCAACCTCCTCGTCGTCGTCTTCCTCCTCTTCTTCTTTGATATGAAGTGTTACTTCTCTAGGTGTAGATGTCTCCTCTTCCTTCACCTCCTCCTCCTCTTCCTCCTTCTCTTCGTGTTGGTGATACTGTTTGAGTCGGATGTGCCACGCCAGACTGCAGACAGCAGACACGGTTTTGAACTGGTGGACAACTCCTCTGGGAATGAAGTAGATGTCATCGTGGTAGAGTTGGATTCGGGCGTATCGGATCCCCTCCCTCCTCAGCTGGTTCAGCTTGGCATCATCGATCCACTGTACACACTGCGGAGGAAGTCACAGGAACACATGATGAGGAAAATGTACAGATATTAGAACCGAAAGGAAAAGCAAGGCGAGCAAATTAAAGGAAATCCTGCTGATAAATTATTGGTTTATAATAACACGTTTATTTTGAAATCTTATGCAAAACAACTGTAAGGCTTTATGCTCTATGAAAGCTTCAGTATGTTTTTTGGATCAACTTTTGAAAAGTAACAGAAGAGGAATGTTTTTTATCTTTGCTCACTACATATTTACCTTTTTATCCTCAGGTGTTAAGTTAAAAAACTACAGCTTATGAACTTCTTTTTAAAATACAAAAACGTGAAATGATCAGTTAACTTATTGTTATTAGCCACAAGAAACAGATAATTATCGGTTATCATATCGACCGGGAAAAGAAATCCATATTGCACATCCCAAACTAAAATAATGTGGAGCTGGAACTGTTATTGATCTTCGAGTTGGATTTTATTTGTACTATGAAGCTCTGTCGAGTAGCCTAACACGGAGCACTGTTTTAGTTTGAGATTTGTTTGAATGAGAGAAAATGCAAAACTTATTTAATAGTCAATGTTTTATTATGAAGAGAATTGAATTTTCCATTAAAAGATAGTTACGAAAATGTTTATAGGCTTATATACTGTCAATTATATTTTTTTTAGAAAAAGAAAATTGCAATTGATGCATCTCACTTGGAGATAATGCTGTAAACAACTTTGACAATATTCTTTACTACCTCATAAAGTTGTTCATTTACACATCCAGCAGACATGGAGCAACATTATCATTTATTTAGTCCAACATTCACTCTCTTGGTCTCCACCCACTCTTGAGAAGTCTGATCTGTCTCTTTTGGCGCCTAATGCTCCACTGTCCACCAGCTAGCTCAGTCTCTACTAAGAAGGTAGTGTACAGTGTTTTTATAGCCTTTTTTTACTGAAAACAGCTGCCTGCTGCTGGAAAGCAGAGTTGACAAGAAGTGTGAGAGTGAACCAAGCTCTGGCCATAAAACCAAAGAAGAAAGAGCTGAACCACATGATAAAGCTCAGCAGAGCTAAAAGGAACTACGGAGCAGGGTGATAGTGATCTGTGGATTCACCACTACAAGCAACCTCTTTCATATTACAGTCATTTGATTTATTGTTTGTAGAAAAATGTTGATTAGTGCAGCTTTAAAGGACGTTGGATAGGTACAATCTCACAATCAGATAAGATAGCTATTTATACTACCAGGCATAATTAATAAATCCGACCCACCTGAGACAGCGGAGGTTCGTGGAGGTCCAGCTGCAGCCTCATGACAACATCTGGGAAATCTCCAGCATGGAAACACACAACATCTTTGGTGATCCGGGCAGGAGCGTAGCTGCTGTAAGGGAATAGGCAAAGTCCTGTTTACTGACCCAACACCAACTGTGCTTCTTGCACATCACAGCTGTACAGTGACAGGCTGTGGATGTCGTCAGCGATACAATAACGTACCCTTAGACTGAATGGTTCCACTCAATTCATTACTTCATTTTAAGTATTCTGTTGCCTGTGATTGTTTTTCTTTTGCCCTTTTAACTATATTCTAGCAGCAGATCAAAAGTTATCTGGGCAACACAGCTGTCAGGTTGTGTTTTATGCAAAGGTTTCTAAGTACTATGTGTGATAAGGTAAGAAGATGTCACTGTGTACTCACTCCTCTCCGCAGCGCACAGCCTTCAGCACACCTACAGCAGCAGTAGTTTGTCTCTCAAACCCCTGACCGATGTGGTCAGCGTGGGCTCTCGTCCGGTCCTCAAACAGCATCTCCCTGGGCTCGCTGGCTCTGGGTAGATACTGCAGGTTCTTTATCTCATTGGTGGACCTGAAATACATTTATTCACAAGAGTCAGGATATGTTAAAGGCATGATTAAAAACATGTGTAACATGGCATGTGGTGTTGAAAGATAAGCTGAAAGCATTTCACTGGTTTTGCAGCTTTACTTCAAACTCATTGAATTTTTTTAATGAGGATGCTGGTGAGATGATAACAACCTGTGCTCCGGCAAACATTTACAGACTCAATATGTCAACCCACCTTTTCCTTTTGAAGGGTGATTTTGGCATGTCTGCCATGGGGATCATCTGTTCTCCAGGTCTGACCCACATGATGGGGCCGTCGTCGCTCTCAGTGGGGCTCTGCAGACGCAGACTGGAGAACGTTCCCCAGGGCAGAGTCCGCTGCATAAACACAGGGTGAGAAACTTGGAGTTACATAATGGCTTGTAGCGACAGACAGGGAAAAGTGAGACAAACGTCTACGGACCATAAGTGTTTACATAACGCATAACAAACACACTAACCTCCAGAAAGGGAGATTCCTCTAACATGCTGATGAACTCGGGGAAGTAGTCTCCAACCTCTTCGTCCACAGCCCCGACCAGACTGACCTGCCGCATGGCCCCGGCACGGTATGTTCCCTGGGAATATGTCCGCTTCACCTGCAGGGGATGACCACAGAGAAGACACATCAGGATCAAAATATCCTTATTTGACACATCTAAACCTGACATGTTCTTTACTGCCAGTTCAGACCTTTTCAAAAACATCATAAGCATCCTCATAGACAAGTTGTCGGTCTAACAATTGAGGCTGGCATTGTCAGTGT